GGGGGGGTTTGGTCTTTTTCTGGTTTTGGTAGCAGGGTACCAGGATTCCCGCTTGCTTCCAGTAATGGCTTTGGGAGCACACCTTTCCTTTCATTTTCATTAAGAAGCAGCATCAGATCATCTCTAAAGTTCCTATAGAATTCAGCAGCATACCTGGCTTTTCTTTGTTGTTTTGTAAACTATAGTTTTTAAACTGTGAACTCCATTTCATTGGCTGATATTGGGTTATTTAGAATTTTCATATCTTTTTTACTTCAGCTTTGGCAATTCCTATGTATCTAGGAATCTGCCCATTTCCTCTGAGTTTCTCATCTTTTTAGAGAATAGGTTCTCAAAACAGGTACTGACGATCATCTGGATTTCTGCAGGATCCACTGTAATTTCACCCTTTCATTTTGAACTGCATGGATGTGAGTGTTCTCTGTCCTTTTATGATAAGTTTGGCTAAGGGTTTGTGAATTTTGTTCAGTACTTCAACGAACACCACTTCAATTCATTGATTCTCTGTACTGCTTTCTTAGCCTCACTTGCATTAATTTCTGCTCCGAGCTTTGTAATTTCTTCCTTCTTGCAAGCTTGCTCAATTTTTATGATGTGGGAATTAACTGCTGTAAATGTCCCTAGTGCGACTGCCTTATTGATTTTCTGTGCTGATGTTTGTAATTTGCCTATGGTAGACCGCTTTGTTACTGTAATGAACCCTCTTTAGGAAATATGACTTTTCAGAGATTCTGTACATTTGCTTGTGATTCTGACCCGAGATTCTGCCTCTTCAATTTGTTAACAATTAGAGACAGTTGTCTGTTTGCCAAGCGCCACTATTTTGGTACTGGACTACGGTACTGTTTACGACTCCCACACGATCTCGGTGTTGGCATAGAAGGGAGAACCACTGATCACAACAACCGTGCCACCCTGAGTAAAGTAGCAGGACCAGTGCAAAAAAGAGCACCAAGCAGAGCCCAGAAAATACTAAACTGTGATAGCTATTCATTTGGCACCTTTAACCATAGGTACAAACTTTGTAGTTACACAACAAATTTAAAACAAATCAGAAAGTTGCATACAGTAAAAATTGACTTAATAGAACTATTCTAGCCTCAGGGGAGAGAATTTAAAATAAATAAGAGAAAAACAGAGAAGAAAGGAAGAAAAAGACATTAGAAGCAAGGCTAAAGGTCAAAAGATGATTATCTGAGGTTCAGGAAACTGGTGAAGAAGACAGGACAGAAAGAAAGGTAAAAAAGCAAAACAAGGTCAAAGTACGACCCCCCAAAATTAAAAACAGTGTTGACACTCATGATAAAAGCAAAACAGACAATCAAGAATAGAGTAAAAAGCAGAATAGAAAAACAACACAAACAAAAAAGAAATTGCCCTGTGAGTTCAGGCCTGTCATTCTCTTCTGGTGTCCACCCTTTTGTGGCAGTGTCTACACCGGTGTCCAGATGTTTCCAGGGAAACCCCAGTCAGTCTGCAGTAGGATTAGGCCCAGGTGGTGAGTAATCCCAGCAAGCCTGCAGTGGGGTTTGGTGGAGTGCCGAGTCTGGTGCTTCCAACTCCACAGAGGTTCAGGGTGCTCCTGGCCTCTTACTGTGGGGCTGGTGTCCCGGTCTTCAGCCAGCCACACTCCGAAGGTCACCCCCCCCAGCTGTCCCGGGGCTCCGTGACCCTGGGCATCTCCCATGGGCATCACTCACACAGTTGCTGTGGGGACATCAACACCAGATCCCTGAGATGAAGCCAGGCCATGGCTGCTCTGTGGGTCGGGATCAGTTGGCCCTGCCCCTAAAGACATCCCACCGATCCCTCTACCGAGGACCGTGGCGGTCAGCAGGGCGGCAGTCTCTCCTAACCTCTGCAGTGCACGGCATGCCTTGCTCTGCTCCACCGCTGGGTTTCTCCTCGGGAGCCTCTGGACCTAGCTGTTCTCCCTGTGCCCCCTTCGTCAATTCGATATTCCTCTCTTGCTCCATAAGCCGGGGTCCCATGTGTCCGTCCCCTCGGTGCTGTCGTCTGTCTCCTCACTTTCTCCGCATGTCCCACTCTTTCCTTCAGATCTTTCCTGGGTCCTGTGGACCCACTGCCTCCTTCCTCTCCTCCCCAAGTTGTTGTTCTCCAGGGTCTGAAGTCTGAATCTTGGAGAGGTGGATTTGTTGCTGCTTACCACTGCACCATCTTCCTGGGAGGTCCTCTGGCTGTATGTGAGTGGCAGAACGAGATAAGAAGCTTGTCTGTGCAGGGGCGCTGATCTATCTCATTAATAAGAAATTCTGATTCAGAATTTCATATAATACTAATTATCTGCTTCAAAGCAAGATTTTCATGCCATCACATATCGTTTAGTGTCATCGCATAAGAATTACGGAGAGGGATAAAAGCAATCACTTTATACAAGAGAATGTTCTTAGATGGGAGGTGATTGTAGAATGTGTCTCCTTCCTAAAAGCCTCTGTGTTCTCCATGCAGGTTTATCCCCAACAACTACCAGACTGTTTTAGCCTTCATTTTTGCCATTGAAGAAATCAATGCGAATCCTCACCTTTTAACCAACGTGTCATTGGGATATGAGTTTCATAATTTTCTGCACGGTCATTGGAGGATACTACAGAATTTCCTCATCTTGTACGCAGGGCAGGATGAAATCCCCAATTTCAACTGTAAGAGAGAGAGCAAGTCCATCGCATTATTTACAGGAACGTCCTGGGAAACAGCTGCTCAAATTGGGGCACTGATGGAGCTCTACAAATTTCCACAGGTCTGGGAGAATGGGCTGGGGGGAGATGAAATAGAGTTGTTTAGTGTCATTCTGGGGCCCCTAAAGTTAATGAAAAGAAGAGATTTACAAGTATTTCTCCAAGGGTCTAGCCTCATGGGAGAATACCCTGAGATATGAGGAATTCTTTTTTTTTTTTTTTTTCACCAGCAGCGTCAGCATATAGGGGAGAAAGGAAGGAAAGCAGAAAAAGAAGTTCCCTGTAATTCTGTGTGTCTTTAGTTGTTTTATAAAAAGCATTTTGTGAGTGAGATGATTAGAAAGATAGGAATGGAAATATTGCTCTATGACTCTCCCGACTGTGCCATAATTTGGGGGGTGTGAAATTGTGTTTTATATCAAGTTTATTCATATTGTTTTTAACTTTCTTTCCTCTGTAGCTGAACTTTGGCTCTTTCGACCCCGTACTGAGTGACAGTGGCCAGTTTCCCTCTCTCTATCAGGTGGCCCCCAAGGACACGTCTCTGGCCCTTGGCATGGTCTCTTTGTTGACCCATTTCAGCTGGACCTGGGTAGGAATGATCATCACAGAAGGTCAGAAAGGGCTTCAATTTCTCTCAAATCTTAAAGGAGAGATGGACAGGAACAGAGTCTGTGTGGCATTTGTGAAAATCATTTCAAATACTATTTTGTCAGCTGTATTATATGCCCAGCAACATAATTTTCTAACCAGGGAAACATCACCCGTTAATGTTATCATCATTTACTACGATAGTGACAGTCTAAATAGCATCAACTATAATATAGAGCATTTAGTGACATGGAGAGTCTGGGTGACAAACTCACAATGGCAGGCTGACGTGTCTGGGAAAAACTTCATACTGGGCTCATTCCATGGCGCTGTCACCTTTTCACACCACCGTGAGGAGATTTCTGGTTTCAAAAATTTTATCCGGACTGCTACCCCTTCCAAATACCCAGAAGACACGTACCTTGCTCTGCATTGGTTCAATAATTTCGAGTGCTCAGTATCTGACTCTGACTGTGCACTGATGGACTGTATGCCCAATGCCTCTCTGGCGTGGCTGCCTGCAAATCGTTTTGACCCAGCCATGAGTGAAGAGAGTTACAACGTGTACAATGCGGTGTACGCGGTGGCCCACGCCCTCCAGGAGATGCTTCTGCAGCAAGTGCAGATGCAGAAAGTGGGCCGTGGAGAGCAGATGGCATTTTCTCCTTGGCAGGTAATGTCTCCTCTTCTGCATGATAGCTATTACGTTTCCTGAAGGCCCTGAAATAGTTATTCGCCCACAGAAGTTAGAATTACATCTAAAGAAAGTGTGACAAGGCCTGTACTAGCTTTACTATCAAGGTTAAATAGCTAGACCGCGTCATCTAAACCAAGTCCAACTGGTAAAGACAAAATCAGATATGAGTTGAGATCAATGTTTAATTTCTGAAAGGAAATCAGCAACATCCTCCCTCAATGTTTTTCATAAGAGATCAAAGATTTCCCATGAACTTTTTCAGAGATAATGGGAAAGGATGTAGTTTTTAGGTAGCTAAAAGGTGGCTACTTCGTAAGAATTTTCTCATTTATTTTTGCAAAGAGTTTTTGTGCTGACGTTTTCATTTTGCAGGTCGGGATTCTGAAAACCATCCGAGAGAAAATCACTATTGGGAACTTCGATTCCAGAGTTGAGCTTTACATAACACTCGTTTATTTGATTGATTTGCATGACATCCATTGGAATATTGTTCTTGTTATTCACTGACATTTTTCGAACATTGTGATATTTTCATATGGACTTTTATTTGTTTTACCTCAGTGAATAAGAGTGTTAAAGTTGCACTATAAAACGTGATTGCCCACTCTTTCCCACATTCAGCACTGTGGTCTCGGTACTTGGCCACAGGTCATTGGGCCATGATGTTTCTTTTTCAGCTTCACCCCTTTCTGAAGAATGTCCATTTTAAGAATCCTGCTGGAGACCACGTGAAACTGGATGACAGAAGAAAACCAGATGCACAGTATGACATTGTCAATCTTTGGAATTTTCCAGAAGGCCTTAGACTTAAGGTCAAAGTAGGAAACTTTTCCCCACATGCTCCCCAAGGGCAGCAGTTATCTTTATCTGAGGACCTAATAGAGTGGGCCATGGGAATTACAAAGGTATGTGGTGTGTAATCAGAAGGCGCTCTATTAACCCAAAATGACTGCATTCCTTTGGTAGCATTTGTGCCCCTGTATTGCTCAAAAGATGGACATGTGTGGAAATTACCAAACGTGCTTTTAATTTGAAACAATTTTATTATTGAAGTGTCCGATGAGTCACACAGCAACATATGTATTCAATTCTATTTTTGCAAATGCTCCTATGCTTATGATTCGGTGTACATGGGATCACTTTGCATAGCTGGATTTGTGTGTGTATAAATATTAATTTGCTCACTAAGTGAAAAGTTGCAGAGGTCACACACACATATCTGGTTTTCCTCAGACTCCACACTCTGTATGCAGTGAGAGTTGTAGTCCTGGATTTAGGAAAACTCCTCAGGAGGGAAAACCTGCCTGTTGTTTTGGTTGCACCCCTTGCCCAGAGAATGAGATTACAAATGACACAGGTATGTGCTTGGCCATTGAATTAATAATTTAGGAATCACTTAAAGATAATTGATTTCATGAGTTAGCTCAGAAGTGCGTTGTGAAAGAAAAGTGCAGTTATAAAAAGATATAATCACGTGGGACAACAATGTTCATTGGGTAAAGAAGAGGTCCCAAGTCGATCCCTGGTTAAAAAAAGAAGAAGAGGAGGAGGAGGAAGAAGAAGAAGAAGAAGAAGGAGAAGGAGAAGGAGAAGGAGAAGGAGAAGGAGAAGGAGAAGGAGAAGGAGAAGGAGAAG